GCGCCCGCGCGCCCGGAGCAGCCATCGGGCCTCCGGGGGAGCCCCCGCGCGCCCGCGCCTACCAGGCTGCCCAGATGCGGGCGCCACTCTGCCTGTTGCTGCTCGTCGCCCACGCCGTGGACATGCTCCCCGTGAACCGAAGGAAGAAGCAAGGTACGAGGGGGGGCAGCGGGCTGGGTGGCAGGGCACGCACAGCGGGGCAGACAGGGGTTTGGCCCCTGGCACCGCAACTCCTGCAGATAGCCATCAGGCCCACTTTACAGACGGGGAGACTGAGGCCCCGGGACACCTGTCTGGCAAGCTGGCCCAAGGAGGCTCTCCAAGGAAGGAAGGAAGGGGCTGGTAGGGCTCTCTCACTGCCCCACTCCCTGTGGTAGCCCCATTGCTGAGAAGAAAGAGGGTGGCTCTGTGCGGAGACAGGAAGCCCCAGGTGCCAGGCCAGAGGACACTGGGACTGGGGAACAGAATTAGTGACTTAGAAGCCATGCCAAGTATCCATGCTGAGCTGGGAGAAGACATACATAGCCCCGGGCTGGGAGTCCAGATGACCCAGTCTCAGGCCCATCATTGACCATGACTCACCATGTCACCTTCAGGAAGGCAGTATTCCTTAGTGGACCCCCTCTGGCAAGGACATGAGCTTTGTGAATTCAGGGAGACCTGAGACCTGAATTTACATCCATTTATTCTGAGATGACCTGGAAGAAGTCCCAGAGCCCCTCCGTTTTTCCATCTTGACCTCCTGGGAACACTCGGAAGGTAAACCAAGGTTCAGACTGTACATGGACCCGGGGCACAGAGGGGCCCCTTGCACCCTCAGGGTCCTATGCCACAGCCGCTCACTGTGAGAGTCAGAATGTCCTCAAGAGATGGGTTTGAGGCTGTCGCTGCGGTGTGGGGGTCGGCAAAGCCCGTGGGGCTGAGGGGGGCAAGCAGGCCAGCAAGTCTCCTGAGCTGGTACCAGTCTGAGAACCAACCTCGGAATGCCAGCCACTGTGCCAAGGGAATCCCCACCGCATCCTCATGACAGCACTCATCCCATTTTATAAAGCCGGGTGCCGAGGCTCAACAGGTTAGGTAAATTTGCTAAATTGTCCAGCAGGTGAGCGGAAGACCCAGTGTCTTCTTTTTTTCCAGCTGTGGTGTTAGGTCTGAACAAGGCTACATGGGAATAAGAGAGTCTGCCCTCTAGGAGCTTCTAGTCCATTTGAATGAAAAGCCCTGCATGGACACACTCACTCCTGGACTGGAGCAGGAAGCAGAGAGGGGCTATGGGAGAATGCGGAGGTGGGATTGGGTGGGGGTGACTGGCCCAAAGGGCTCCAATCCCCCGTGTGACTGGATGGAGGGACCCAGGGGTCCGAGCAGTGGGTGGGCTTCAGGTGAGCTGGGGCAAGTTTGGGACTTCATGGGGATGCTCCTCTGTGAATGTCCCATGTATAGTGGCTGAGTCTATAGTCTCTGGAATCAGCTTCCCCAGTGACCAGCTGAGTGACCTTGGGGAAGTCACTTTGCCTCTCTGAGCCTGGGTTTACCCATCTAAGGCTCTTTTAGAACATCTCTAAGATTTTTCTGTTTTAAAACGGACCAAAAAAATAAAAATAAAAACTTTCTCCTCACTGACTCCTCTTTAACAAGAGGAATAATAATCTGAAGTATCCAACTCTCAAGGCAGATGTGGGCAAGACTGAATTAGTGTGTTTGTTAAGTGAGTAGCCAAGTACACAGGCTCCTAGTGGGCACTTGTAGGTACCAGTCGTCTTCATTTCCTATGCATGGTGTCCCTGGCTACTCACAACAGCCTCGTCGGGGTCGGTGGGGGGGCAGGGGGGAGGGCTGCTTATGATCTGGATGAGGATTCAGAGAGGGAAACTGATTTGTCCAAGGTTGCTACGGGTGAGTAGCAATGCAGGCTAGAATCCCACTCCATCTGTCAGGATGGCTCCTGAGCTGTGTTGGCTTTCCCCTCCCAGAGTCTCCGTTCCCCATCTGAAGAGGAGCTCGTTGGGGAGATCTTTAAGACGCTTCACAGTTCTAAAAAGACACACACACACAAAGATTAAAGAAAAAGAAAACTTCTAATCCCTTTCCCCATCCCCAGTTGCTCGGTCAGGAGCTTGGGCATGGCTGCTCCCAATGCTGCCCCAGTTTGGCAAGGGGGCTCTCGGTGCCCCTCCCCACCGTAGTTGACACCTTGTTTATGGGACATAAACATGCCCATCCAGCGTTTCCAGAGAAGCTTATAGCTCCACTTATCAGTCAGGTGCGATGGAGAGTCTTGGATTTCAGTCCCACCCCAGGCCCCTTTGTACCGTGTGACTTCGGGTGAGTGGACTCCTCAGCTCCTGCCAACGGCCTGTTTCCCCATTGGCCCTGGGGTGAGGGTGGAGGGGTAGGAAACCCCTTCCTGTAGCATATTCTGCAAAGTGGTCATAGGCGTCCTGGCCAAATAGGTTTGAGAAATGCTGGGTTTGGCAGATTTCTTGACTGCAGGACTTATCGGAGCATTCATGGTGAAGTGGTGGGGCTAGACAGCAGGACCTTTCCCAAACTAATTATGCAGCAGAGGGCTATTTTTCATGAGGCAGCTGCTTGGGAAACTCCACACGACATCCCTGAGGGTCTTACCGGCTTTGACATTTTGCTGTCACTGTAGAAGGAGAATGTGTCCTGAAGGCACCTAAGCCCTGGCCGTGCTCCATGCATCCATCTCTTCACTTGTTCATTCAACAACAGCTACAGGGCAGGCTCTGTGCCAGGCTGTGTGCTGAGAAACTTGGAGATGCCAAGGTGCACGGACCCGGGGCCTGCTCTTAAGCAGTTACCAGGGTGGAGGGATGCCCTTCCCTGACTTCCCCAGCCTCCCCTCCATGTCCGAGTCCCAGGCCTCAGTCTTCGGCCTGCTCTGCAAGGCCCAGCAGCTGCCCAGGCTGAGCTGTCACCCTCGGGGCCTGGCACCCGCAGACCCATGCTTCTTCAAGCTCTGGCGTCACTGTTTTCTGATGAAACCCAATTTTTCTGTTTCTTTCTTTCTTTTTTTTTTTTTTCAATTTTTCTGTTTCTAAGACAAGAAAGAATGAAAGAAAAAGCTTGAGAAAGATTCTTGGATCTCAACTGTCTCTTACAAAACAACATGTTGATTAATTAAGTGTAAATGAATCAGAACCAGATGGAAACATTTCTCTTGAGACATGCTGGGGTGTCCTGGCAATGGGACGGGCAGGGAGTGTGAGGGAGCTCTGGTCTGCAACCCCCAACCCATGATATGGAGCTTCATTTAGGCAATGAGGAGAAGACAGGCTGTGATGGACTTCCCTGACGTTCAAGGGTGGAGAGGGGGTCTGGTGGAGGCAGGAGTCCCCCCACATTCGCATGGTGATTTCAGATCCTTCTAGACCCGAGGCAGCAAGAGGCAGAGGGAATTCGGGGAGTTCAACTCTGGAATTCAGATAGCCCTGGGTTCAAATCCCGAACCCTCTCCTGCCCTAGGTGTGTGACCTTGGGCAGGCCACATGCCTTCTCCAGTCTGTGGTTCCACGTCTGTGAAATGGGAACAGTTGTATATACCCCTCTAATAGTTGGGAAGATTCACCACAGTCCCAGAGGGAAGGTGTCTGGAAGCATAGAGTAGGTGCTTTATAAAGATTCTACCACTTCTCCCTCCCATTTTACAGCAGGCTGGGATGCTCTCTGGACTGGGCGGTTTCGTGTGGGTTGAACCTGACTTCTGCCCTTGTCCCCTGGGTGAGCCTCTTCATTCTTCCTTTGCTCAGTGAGCAGCGCCTCCCTTGGGTGGGGTGAATGTGATCATTCTCGGCAACCACCGGGCAGGCAGCACGGTCCCCTGTCTATAGCAGGGAAGCTGAGCCCCAGCAGGCAGGTGCCCAAGGCAGTGGCAGAGATGGGGAAGGACCCAGGTTTCTTGTCTGCAGGGCTGGGCCAGGGCCGGGTGGGCCCAGAACAAGGTGCATCCCCCTCAGTGCTGGCCTCCAGGTTGTACCAGGTCAAGATGTATGTCAGGGGCAGCTCTGGAAGGAGAACCAACTGCTAGAGGATGGAGTGAGGGGTTTAACTGCACCTCGGGGGCCCAGGAAAGGCATCATGTGTCAGTAGAATGCTACCTCAGGCAAGGCACTTGGGCCCCTTTGGGCCTGGGTTTCTTCATAAAATACAGCTGGTTGAGAAAAGGAAAGCAGTATGTTTGGTGCACGGTAGGTACTCAGTAAACTTGTCTCTGCGCCCATGCCCTCTCCCTCTGTGGCCCGTTCTGGAGCCAAGCTTGGGCTCAAAGGACATGCTGCTTCACCTCACATGCCCCCACCGTTGGGGGAACCCACCTCCCTCTCCAGGGATAGAAGCCACCCAGCCCCCGCCCAGTCACCAAAGGAGAGCCTTGAGGCCACTTAGTGAGGGCTGGCCATGTGCCAGGAGCTCTGCGCAGTGGGAATCCTCACTATGACGCTGTCTGGTGGACACCCATTTCCCAGACAAGGGAACTGAGGCTCAGAGAGGGCCAGTGACCTGTCCAGGAACTCCCAACATCGGGGACATGGACCCAGCATTTTGGAGGCTCCAAAGCCTGTGCATGGAAATACACATGGGTCCTGTTGATGACTTGCCAGGGACTGCAAGGTGGAGGCATCTGAGAGGAGCCTTATCACAGGGATTTTGTCAGGCAAGGTGGTAGCTGGGATGGGGATGGGGACTCCAGCAGGAGGAAGGGAGCGTCTGGTCAGGTGGAAAAGGCCGAAGGGGCTGTGTGGCCGGAGGAAGTAGAGGTCCGATTGCAGACGGGGTGAGAGTCCAGTCACGGAGGGGCCTTGGATGCCACTTGCATGTCACCTTTATCCCAAAGAAATACGCATTGAGCCCCTCCCCTAGGCCAGGCTCTGACTAGGTGTTGACAAGGACGGTAGAGATGCGCTCCACTGTCCCACCTGTCAAAGGGCTCAGTGTCTCCTTGAGATGTCAGTTACAGACCCATCAGAAAGACTGACAAGGACAGGACCCCACTGCCCCTCCCCACAGCCTTCAGCGGCAGGTCAGGGGCATTCCTGGTCTCAGGTGAGCAATCTGACACTCAACGAGGGGACGTTGTTTGGCGAAGGTGACCTTATCCATTTTGTTCTCCTGTGTCTTTGTGTCCATCTATC